AGGGCATTTGCCTGGTTTCTGAATAAAAGCTGGATGCACATTATACTTACCCTGAACAAAGAGAGAGAGAAAAACATCCTTCCTTCCTTCCTTCCTTCCTTCCTTCCTTCCTTCCTTCCATTTTAAGTATGTTTACTCCACCTTTCTCTGAAAAAGGCCCCAAAACGTGAAACTGCAAAACAAGCAAATGGACACATCTGCTCTTTTAGGAGTCACATTTCGAAAGTAACTTGGAAATGGTTCTCTGAAAATGTTTTTTTCCCCCAAAGATGCACCAGTGTGCTTGGCCTGCTGTTTGACACAGAAGTAATGATTTCAGTGTGTTGAATTTTGCTCATGCTTTCTGTGATTCAGTGTGGGCCATTGGACGTTCCTTTCTCTCCCGATGGATCTCTCTCTCTCTCTCTCCATTTCACTGCTTTTACAGGGCTGGAGCACTTGCATCAAGAACAGCTCCTCTGTGATACAACCATCGTAGCCAAGGGCGAGCGGTTTCCCTGTCACAGGTACGGTGTGTTTAGATGTCCATTTTTGACACTGACAAGGATCCTGAAATGTACAGCCTCAGGCTAATTCTCCTCCTTTCCCCCTCCCTGGGCATCACATCGGACCATACAAACAGCACGTCATTGGCAATGGATTGGAACTGTGTAGAGCTTTATGTCTGAGCAATCAGGCTTGAAAGCAAAACCTGTGTTTACCTCCCAGGGACCAATGAGAAACAAGGCCCGGTAATTTGCCAGAGACAAAAGCGAGAAAGCTTAGGCTTGGACAATCAGCTGGTGTGTTTTTTAACTACTGAAAGAATTCCTGATTCTAACAGGATGCTCTCTGTCCCGCACCATTTGAACTTTTCTCTCTGGAGAAACAGAATGATGCAAAACAAATCTGTGGCCATTTTGCTGCAAGCGGCAATGTTCGTTTGGATGGCATTGAGAGCAGAATGTAATAACCAGATATTTTACCCTGAAAATACAGCATTGTTCTCCTTACACTGCTGCTTGTCTCTCTTGTAGGATGTTTGGGTTTGTTGTTGTTGTTTTTTTGTTACAGTTTTAAACCATATATATGGTCTTCTGGATGGCTTCCCTAGGATCCTGGCATGTATGTATGTATGTATGTATGTATGTATGTATGTATGTATGTATGTATGTATGTATGTATGTATGTATGTATGT